AATAGGAATATGGGGTTATGTCTAAACGTTATTTACAATTACATATACACTCATACAACTAAAGTAAAACACATGTAAACAACAATTCAATATTAGTGTCCTTTTAATTGTGGTTAAAAATGAGCCGCAAAACTGTGTTAAGTTAACAACAACTCGAAGACATGCTGAATGTCGACAGCGCTGATGACAATACAAGCAGTGAAAAAGTCGATGAAATACAGGAGTCGTCACATTCATCAGACAATGACTTTCAAACATCTTATATCATGTCATCTCAAACATCAATTATCACATCAAATAAAACCAAACCGTAAAACATTTTGAGAAAAAAATATGGACCAAAAATAAGTAAAGAACGCGCCGATAATAACTACACTCTATTCAACAGTTTTATTAAAATTGTAATAAATAATAACTGTATTTAATGTTAATTATATTTATTAGCCGTTTGATTCGTTTTTAATGATTTCCTTTATTTAATTAAAGATAAATCCAATATTTTTTATAAGAAATAAAACGTATTTTTAAATGACTAAAAACTTGTATAATTTCTTAAATTTGAATAAAATTTTTACTTAATAATAACATATTTTAATTAGATTCAAGAAGTAATACAAATAAACACAATTTGTTTTACAAATACCCTAAAAACCCATAGATAAGCCCACCCATGTATAAGCCGAATCATAAAATATCAAAAGTAAAATGTTCCCATAGATAAGCCGGTACCTATGTATAAGCCGAATTTAATATAACGTAAGTTTTGGAACGTAATTTTTGGAACATACTGGTTTACGTTTTGAGTCTTATTAGTTATTGACTAATTGTCTAATTCAGATTCAGATAATTTTAGAGCATTTGTTTGAAAATTTTATAAGATCTAATGAAAAATTTGATGGCTTTGATTAAATGCACAACATTATTTTGTAATTAAACAATTTTAATAAATATGATTATTTGAATTTAAAATTAAAATTGTTTTTAATTAACATATTTTATGAATAAATATGCCCATAAATAAGTCGAACCCACAGATAAGCCGATTTTCTATATTTTTCATAAAATGCACTTTTTTCATTAGATAAGCCGCGGCGTATCTATGGGTTTTTAGGGTAATAAGACTCATAAATTGTGTGGATTTGAAGACAAAATTCATGAAATTGAATACAAATATATTTAAAAAATTCACCATATTTGCCATTCATTGATATTTCAAAGCAATGATAACACAATTGCATACAATTTAAGCATAATATCTGTTCAATTTTTATCATTCAATGCAATGCTTTAAGTCTACAAAACGTATGTCAACATTGGTCGCCGCCGGTGTCAGTAAATGACGTTTAAATATAACCCCATATTCCTATTTAAATAGGAATATGGGGTTCAAAATATACATAACATAATTTTTGAATATCTCGACATTCAATGTAAACACCAAAACACACAATACAGCGCATGTCCTATGCAGACACGTACACTCCACTCATACACTCCACTCATAGCACTAAACTATAGAATAGAAGACTGTGTTAAAAGTTGGGATGAATTCCGCCATCCATACCAATGGTGTAACTTTTTAGTTATAGCATAGGTTTCTCGCTTATGCTGCCCTCTAACTCATGTAAATAAAATGTATTATAATGATAACACAATTGCATACAATTTAAGCATAATATCTGTTCAATTTTTATCATTCAATGCAATGCTTTAAGTCTACAAAACGTATGGTCAACATTGGCCGCCGCCGGTGTCAGTAAATGACGTTTAAATATAACCTCATATTCCTATTTAAATAGGAATATGGGGTTCAAAATATACATTACATAATTTTTGAATGATATCTTGACATTCAATGTAAACACCAAAACACACAATACAGCGCATGTTCTATGCAAACACGTACACTCCACTCATACACTCCACTCATAGCACTAAACCATAGCATAGTAAACTGTGTTAAAAGTTGGGATGAATTCCGCCATTCATACCAATGGTGTAACTTTTTAGTTATAGCATAGGTTTCTCGCTTATGCTGCCCTCTAACTCATGTAAATAAAATGTATTAAATCACTGGGCGTTATATCGACCACGATATAATCGCTGTTAGCAATTTAGCCATATAATCAGACGGTTAAAATCTTATTTTATACAAGAATTATAACATTTTTAATTTTATTATTTTTAAATTACATGTTATCCAAATAATATAGCAATAACAAATAAAACATAATTAATTTTTATAAGTAATCTGGTTGAAATTAATTAAAAATAAATTGTTTCAATATTATACTTCCAATATTATATGATTCTTATACATTATTAAATCATTCTTGAATAATTAAGAAAATAGATGCCCATGCTACATTTGTAACTAAATCATTGTCGTATTTCTTTCCCAAAACAATTTCACCTTATTAAACCCGCTATGGTCGGTAGCGTTGTAATTCACCTGATTGTGTGCCGTGTGGTGTTTCACTTTAGCTTGACGCTGTTGGTCGAGCATTATGCTAATGTAGGGGCCTTTATGTTTGAGCGAGCACAGTAGGTCGACGCATTCATTAATTTTAGCCAGGGTAATCACCGACTTTTGGGCATCACTTTTCTTAGCATTTGTAATAATCTGTTTCTCTTTCTCGTATTGCTTTAACACGTGTTCGAGTCGTTTGATTGTTGTCTGACTGCCGGCGGCACCGGTAGTGCCGTACCGTTCGTTGGCAATCAGGTGTTGCACATAGTCTACAAACGCGTCGTTTACCGGCGTTAAGGCATTGTTGGCCAGAAAACAGGCAAACATTGACATCGACTGAACGATTGTCTCGTTTTCGGCCTTCAATTCGGCGATCCGTTGGTCCAGACGTCGGATCTGTTGCTCTTTGGCCTCAGCGGCCAATTGAGCCATTTTGATCTTGGTATCAATAATGTTTGCATCCACCTTGGTAACTTTAGCGTGTGTTTCGTAAAATATGTGCAGGTGTTTTTCGTAGCCGTGTCCGCACGCGCGACACACGTGCGACTGGCCCAGTGTTTCCATAATTTTCTCCCCGGTCATTTTTAATGCCCTAATAAATGTAGATTTTCTCGGTTCACCAGGGTCACGATCGGTGCCGCTGTATCTATTAAACGCTTTGCATCCGAGCAAACCTTTATTGCCTACAACGTGACCATCGCTAAAATCCAGGTAACATGGTGAATGACATTCAGTAGTGTATTTGGTCTCGGTCAAATCATTAGTGATTGTTACGCGTTCGCAGCACCGGCTGTCGCCGCACACAGTCTTTGGCCGATCTAACGGTACGGATATTATCTCAACCGATGGTATGTATAGCTTATTCTGGAGCTCTTCAATGGTTCCCACAAACTCTTTGACATCAATCCTATGGTTTTTGCATTGCTTTACGTTATCCGCGATATTCTTCGTGATGTCGGCCAACGGTTTGGTTAGTAATTGTATGATTTGTTTGGCGTTATTGAGTGATAACGTGTCCATCACTTTGTGTGCCGGCAGTTGTGTTATGTAATTGAATAGTCGCTGACATTCAACTACTGATCTATTTAATTGAATGAATAATATTTTATAATTTATCTTAAAATGACAAATATAAATAATAATAATATATTGCTATTAATATCTGATATCTTGTTTGTTTATTATGTTTATATCAATAATGTAATAAATGATCAATTTTGTAAATTTAAGGTATAAATTCAAATTAGATTTATGGTAAGAAGTTTAACAATATATTGTATCAAGAGTGCCAATTTTAGTTACAGTATTGTATAAATAATTAGTACTACATAGAATAAAATTTACAAACCTTTTCCAACTCTCAACAAAATTTGATTTAAATTTTGGGTCAAACTGTATATTATTTGGCGGAACCGAAGCCACGAGATATCGAAACGACTCGTTATCGAAACAATAGGTTGTATTCTTGTTATAAGGGATGTCAACATTTGGTGGACTTTTACTCATTGAGTCTAAAAATTTAATTAAAGCGGGTCCGGTCTCTCCGGGCAAGTAGTTAGTGCTCCGGGAGTTTGTGTACAGAAATAGTATATTATTTGCGGCGCTTTTATTCAAATGAGTGAACAATTGAAACAAACAATACTTAAAGACTACATCAACTTTTTGCTCGTTTGGCTTTAAAAGTACACAAAAAGCGTTGATTTCTCGATAATTACTTATAAAGTTTAATATGATTTGCATATTTATGTTATCCTTATCCACACCATCCGTGTCGGCAACTCCTGGCGTATCGATTATATTGAGCACAATATCATTGTTTTGAAATTTATAGCATTTTGCGCATTGTGTGGCCGACTGTGTCGGGTCAGCGGTATTTTCATTCACATCCTGTTCACCGAGTGTTACCTTCTGTGGCAATAGAGTGTTCGGATCCGTTATCGTAAAGCTTACGGGTATTAAACATATGGGCCGTCCGTTCGCCGCATCCATACTCTCGAAAGACATATAATTTACGATTGAGTTAATGAATGTGGACTTTCCCACACCTGTCTGTCCCAACAATACGATTGTGATCTCCTTTTTCTGTAAATTAGATGCTCGTGAGTAAATAATATTTTATTTGTATCACTTTAATCACCTTAGTTGAATGAATTTTCTCTGTAGACAAATTGTTGGTGCCTTCTATGATAATCTCTATATCTTCCATAACTGTTGCTGTGCTGCTAGAATGACCAATGTTCATTCTATTTTTATCGTCAGTGGTCATATGCCTACAATAAATGCTTATCAATTAAAATTTATTCCCACAATTTATTTATGAAGAATGTGGTTAATAAAATCCCATATTAATTTTATTACTATACTGTACTTTTACATTGTGTTTCTCCACAGTTTTAACATTAATGCATTTCTATGTAAAGGGCACTTTAATAACAACTTAAGTATTAGTGATCGAAAAATTACAATTTTTGAGTGCCGGTGGCGTTCCAGTGCCGCTTAACACTATGAAACTCAGTGCCGTGCCGGTACCGCACAAATGCCGTTAGTGCCGGTGCCGTTCCAGTGCCGATAGTGCCGGTACTGATAGAGCATGTGCAGTCATGTGATTTATCACATTCAAATATATGAACAAAGCCCCTAGAAATAAGCAAATATGTGTTATGCATCACTGGGAAAAGCATGTGATGATCGTATGATCTGTTAATATGAAATACCTGTTCATAGACCTAACCCATGATCACAGTTGTGTTTCATTGAAATAGGAGTTAAACAGGTTTTAGTTTTTAATGAAAACACGTGTTATAAAGGAAATGCAAACTTAAATGTAAATTCATTTAGTTTTGCATTGAATTTAAATTCAT